AGGGGCTGGTTATCAGTAGAGTTAAATGACATGAATCTCTTTAATAAAAATCACATTCAAATTCCCTCTAAGAAATGATTCACGAGATCAAAATTTCTTCATCAGCTTGAACGGCATCCTTGTGTGTAGACAGGTATGGGAATCTGTGTTGCTGGCAGTCACAAAAACCCTGTCACCTTTCTTGACTGATACCCGTGTCTGAGGTGAACATTGACATTTCCACTCTGAGGCAGTAACCTGGTGGGGACTGTGGAAGAAAATACAAACAAACAAACAAACAAAGCTCCATGGTGAGTGTATTTGATGATGTAACTCCAAACCAGGTTGGGTTTTCTTCTGGGAGACAAAGGAAGGATTCAATTTCCATCAAGGGAGAATGTCCCCCACCCTTGAAATATCTTCCTAGAGACACCATGAGCTGGAGAATAGGCCTGACAGTTACAGCCACGGAAAAGAGGGCCTCCTGTCTCCTGCGATCCATCAGGAAGGATCTAAATCCTCACCACCCGCAGATGGTCCACCGACCAGCAGAATCAGCAATAGCTGGGAATTTGTCACAAATGCAGCCTATCAGGCCCGACTTCTCCTGCTAACCCCTAGGTGACTTCCGGGTGCTTCCTACGTGCATTGATATTTAAGAAGCATTTCTTCTAACTCTCTATTCTAACCGTGGTGCGGATTATTTTCTCGAAAATATTCGTGATGCTTCCACGGAAATACAGCCTATCCCACAGGCGGCCATTTATGCTAACCTTAACCACAAGCGCCAAGAGAGGCACTCCTAAAGATAGTGTTTATTGGCCATTTAATCCTTTGAAGTTCTCAAGCAGCGTGCATGGTATGAAGACCTTCTTAGGTGTTTCCTTCTAAATTAGCCGATGCTGCTTGTGTTCACCTGGTCTAATCGTTCTGAGTGAACAAAAACCTGATTTTACAAACCAGTGGAGCAGAGTCTCTCTTTGGCTAGAAGAATGAGGCTCAGATAGTGTGTTTTATTTCTTCATTAGCGTGCCGTCACAGTGAGCGATCACTAAATGCAGGGCTGCATGAGAATGCTGGAGTTAAAGATAGCATAATGAACAAAGAAGGTGCCTGATTATCATGGCTGTCAGCACAAGGGAATTGGCTTTGTCACCTGGCTTAACCAACTGGTAAGAACTGATTAAAGGCTGGAGTCGGTTTGAAAGGATCCCTGATGTTTATGTTCCTTTCTCTCCCCCACATCTTGTCAAAAGAATCCGATAAAGCTGGGGTGGGGTGGGGGGGGGGCGAGGCAAGGGGGAAGGGCTTCATTCTGTGGGTTATTTGAACAGGAGGTTCTTGGAGAAACTCCCACTGTCTTCTCTATTGAAATGCCTACTAAGTGCCGTCCAGGACTTTCTGCGATGGCAAAAATACTCCACAGAGGAGCTGTCCAGTATGGTCACCACTGGCCCCATGCGGCTAGGGAGCCCTTGAAATATGGCACAGCATAAATTGGAAACTGAATTTTAAATTTAAAGAGTCATATGTGCCTAGTGGCTACAGTATGGGACAGTGCAGGAAGGGAAAAACCTAAAGTGAGCTGTAAAGTAGAAGAGACTATAATTCTGCTGCTTAATTTACTAGTAAACCTATTAGCAAAATATGGTCACCCCCCCCCCATTATCCTTGTCTCCAAGGAGGTCTTAAGAGTCTTATGTTGTTAATGTTTATTAAATTAAAAAAAAAAAAACGCTTAAAAATAAACTCTGTAGAGAAGTGGGCTCAACTTTGTGTTTACAATGCAATTACGGGGGCAGCTTTTGAAAATGCTGATGCCTGAATCTTATCCCCAGAGATTCTGGAGTCTAGTGCAGCCACTGGGCAATTCAGCTGCACGGTCAAGTGAGAAAAGCACCATAGAGAGGCAGTCAGACGCGCTGGCAGTGTGGTGTGGACGTGGTTTGGGGGAGGAAGTGACCAGCTGGGGACACGAGAAGGGACCAAACATTTGTTAGATCCCTACCATGTGCCAGACCTTTACAAATATTTTCTTGTTTAATTCTCGAAACAACCCGACAGGCAGATCATGAGAATCCCAGTTGACCGATGGGTAAGCGGCGTCGAGGGGTTGAACAACCTCAGAACTTTGTGGTGTTAACAGCACCGTGCTTCCTCCTAGCTCGAGTCAGAGGGACGCAATAAACTTAGAATAACACAAAGAGCTTGAGTCAGTCAAGTGTAGGCGGAGTACTAAGAGGATGGACCGGAGGGAAAAAGATCACGTGTTGCGTCGGTATTTTCATGGGTCTTTTATCAGAGACACAAAAAGCTGACAGTTTTCCTTCCTTCACGTTATTGAAAGCAATCGCCGACAAATGCAAAAGCTACTTTAGCTCTGAACCTTTTTGATGCCCCCCCCAATTGCTAAAACCCATATTTTCTTTTGCTCATTTGGATCCTCAAGATACAGCCAACAATTTATGCCTACGCAAACATAAAATTCCAAGGGCTCGGCTACCGCACTTACACACGCGGCGAAGCATTCCAGTAACTCAAGCAGGTGGTGACCTCTGGGGTCTCCCTAAACTGCTCCCACGTAGCAAGGTGCAGTAGTTACGTGATGGGCCCATGGTCCCAGAATGCTGGTGACAGATCGGAATCATGAGACTGAAAATGCCTGGAGGCAAGAGCCAGACCATCTTGCCATCAAAGATGAATTTTATGAGGTTCTTAACACAGTCGGGCTGCAGTCTGGGGAAGGTTCTATCTGTATGGAAAGACAGACTGCCTGATGCAAGGTGAAGGCAGCCATCACACGGTCTGGCCCCAATACTGCCCTTTGAGTGTTCTGGTGCCCTAAAATCCCACACCCAGGGAACTGTTGGCAGCCGGTGTGGTCAGAGGAGGAGAGTTTACCTGATCCCACAGAGTGGAACACGGGATGAGGATACTCAGGTTGGAAAAGAAAAAGCTTGGGACTTGAGCTTATCAAACATCATGGCCATCTAGAGAAAGTACTTAGTCTAGGGAAGGAACACAAAAAGAAAACGAGGAAGTCTTTGCCCATTTACGCTTACACCCAAGGCTGGCCCTCGTATTATCCTTCCCTCAGGAGGGAGTTTGAGTTCGACCCGGGGGGGAGTGGGCAAGAGAGCCTGCCTGTGATAAGAAAAATGTCAGTCTTCTGGTTGTGCAGCTCTATCCCCAAGCTGGGGTGGGGTCCTGGGCTCCCTCTTAACACTTCTGAGCTGGCAATTACGTCGTGTATAAACGGAAAATAATGCCTATTTTATAGATTTGGTTTACTATGAGCCCTGTGATGAGGTGTATTGAAAGTGTCTGATACATTACCTGGGTATCATAAAATGATTCTTCTTGTTTTTTTTGTTTTGTTTTGTTTTTTAAGTTTATTTATTTACTTTGAGAGAGAGAAGAGAGGGCAAGCTGGGGAGGGGCAGAGAGAGAGGGAAAGAGAGACAGAATCCCAAGGAGGCTCCACACTGCCAGCACAGAGCTCAGTGCAGGGCTTGAACTCACAGAACCAGAAGATCATAACCAGAGCTGAAATCCAGAGTCAGATGCTTAACCGACTGAACCACCCAGGCACCCCGTTCTTCTTGTTCTTCTTATTTTTTTTTTTTTTTTTTTGAGAGAGAGAGAGAGGAAGCTCACGTGTGTGAGCAGGGGAGGGGCAGAGGGAGAAGGAGAGATAGAATCTCAAGCAGGCTCCACGTTCAGCCCAGAGCCCGACACTGGATCATGACCTAAGCCGAAAGCAAGTCAGACGTTCAACTGACTGAGCCACTCAGGCGCCTCTGTGAAATGGTTCTTACTGCTGTCGTCGTTTATAAAAGAAACTCTGGAGGGTCCGGTAATCTCAGTCCAAATTTAGGATGGATCTGGAATCTCTTCCCACTCCTTTTAAGGCTGATACTTGCCTTAACCAGACAATGGCCTCACAGCCAGAAAATACTTCTATCTGGAGGGATGTTGGCTCCAGGCCAGCCAAGATGGAATTTGTAATAAGGAACAAAACAGTAACAGCCATAAACACAGTAAAAGCTAAAATATACTGAGTAGCGTCACTTTTTGCATTTCTATGCTAACAGGGCCCACAGGACGGTGCTAAATACCAACAACGATGACGGAGGTACTATTTTTAACTCCATTCTACAGATGAGGAACCGGAGACGAAACTTAGGAGACTAAACTGCCAACCTGCTCTTAACTGTGGGGAGGGAGGGATGTTGGAAACAAAGACAGAACATGTGCGAACCCTGCGTGCCTGGCTCTGTCCCTCGACACACTGACTCACGCGGTGGAAGCACCATGAGTGGAACGCCTGGGCCCCCCCGCTGCCTATTCTGGTCAAGGTCACAGCCACGGCAGGGTCTGCGAAGCCCACAGTGCTGGTGGAAGCAATGGCAACACTAGCAGCTCGGTCCACAGAAAGTGGGAGAACAGACTTCCCTGCTCCTCTGCATACCAAGGGGCCAACCCCATCCATTCATTAGCCCTGCATGTATTGAGTGCCTATCATTAAACAGGCGTTTATTAGGACCCGGGCCTAAATGTTATGAACACAAAACTATGAGGAAAGAGGGAAGAAGGGTAATGACAACGCAAGCCATGACCTCAGTGCCCAAACTGAAACCACAGCCCACACGTGATCCCGTCCCCGGAACCCTGCCCGGGACCTGTCTCCCCCGCAGCTGTCAGGCTTCCCCAAGACTCCCGAAGGAGACGGTAGAGCCATGTATAAATTCCAATCTCAGCTCTAATCACACTGCCAGACAACCCCTGAGAGCTCCATCACTGCTCCAGAAAGTGGCCTGTGGTCAGCTGTGCGTTTTGAAGGCGACCCGGACAGCGAGACAGATCCTTCCTTTTCATAAGCATTCCTCCTGCTTTGAGTAACAAAAGATTTCACAGTCGATCTAACTTGCCCCCTGCCTGGTCATCTTGGGAGAAGACCCAGCCAGGCGGGAACGGCAGCCGTTGGCATCGAAGAAACGAGACAGAAGCACACAACTTACGGGTGCAGGGCATAGAGGCCGCGTCGTTGTCGGCTCTGAAAAAGCCTCGGTCACAGGTGCACGATGTGGCTCCTTCCCAGACAGAGTAGCTGTGGGGCGGGCACTTGGCACAGGTGGCATCCGTGGAGAGGGCCTTGTAATAGCCAATTTTGCAGGCTACGGGAAAGAAGGAAACACACACCAACATAAGCCACCACTAACAGACCAGAGCAAAACGTCACCTCCTTGACCCAGCAGAAGGGGGACGTTTCTGTGAATCGCTAGTGATCACCTGGCTTGAGACGCAGGTAAAGCAACGAAAAACATTAATCGGTTACAGTCATTCTTCAAAGGTCATTACATTCCCGGTCAGGTGGCAAGGAGCCCGACGGGAGACATTTTCTTAAAACCAGCAGAATCGGTCAAATTGCAGCTATGTTTCCCGAGGGCTTCTTGTGTGTAGGTACGCTGCTTACATGCAGGATGGTGTCCAATCCCGATGAACAGCTTGCGCACAAGTACTGTTACCAGCCCTCCCTTGGAAATTTGGGATGCTGGCTTTGAAAAGTCCATTCTTGGTGGCAGACCACGCAACAGGTAAAGGTCAGGGACCAGCTTGGACGCCAAGTGTTCTCTCTCCCAAACCTACGCTCTTGGCTACATGCTACGGAATCTGAGAGCGTGGTCTTGAACCAACAGTCGGAAGCGTATCCAAACGCTCACAGAAAAATTATCGGTGATTATTTCCTAATTACCGGTACAGAGGGAACCAAAGCAAAAGGCCAACAAAGGCAACGAGGCATGAAAGAAAAGAGTTGGTAAGACACGGGTCACGGTTTCAAGGGAAAGTAATATAAAGTACCGACCGTAGATTCTGGACTATAACATACTAAGATTTTTTTTTTTTAAGATCAGCCGATATTTTATGTTCATTTTCAGATTAATAAAACCCTCTTGTTTTCCCCTCTCTCTATTTTTTCAACACCCCCCTGCCTCCCTATGCTCACACACCCTAAGTGGCTGCTGCAGAGAACATGGGCCATATAGTTCTTTATGCACCTGACATGCTTTCCATGACTTCATCTTCGCAAACATCACGCTGACACCAATGGCAGCTTTTCCTAATGTGGAAAATCTCAATAATTCTGGGAAACCTCACAATAAAAAATAATTAATAGGGCCTTGCTTCCCCCCCCCCTTTCTCCCCTCTGCCCTTCACCATCACCTCCCAAATCTGTCTCCACTTGAAATAAAAATTGACCAACACCGTCAGTAGTAAACCCACAGCGACAAGGCCATGAAAAATAAAGTTGTTTCGGGCAACCAGAGGTTTAAAAAAAAAAGGTGACAGGTACCCACCACCTTTCCAGTACGATTCACTTTCAGTGTTGTCCATTTATCTCGTCCTTAAGATGTTCCTAACTATCAAAAATACCAGCTGGAGAAGAACCCGTTAGGCATTTGCCATCAGCCTGACCACGAAAGGAGACCGACCACGCCAGAAACCCAGCGGGTTTCACTCGAATGAGGAGACAAAAAAAGAGATCCACAAAACTGCGTGATTCTCTGAGGCGATATGGCCACGTTCCCTTGTCTCATTACTCATCCCTCAAGCATCTGTACGGCTCCCAGTTGGAGTCTATTCCTCCCCTTTGAACAGCCTGTTGGTATTTTCTTAATCATGCTCTGGTAATGGCAAGCGGAAAGGGAGTTTAGCAGAAGCTCCAGAAAGGCACACGGTTATTTCACTATTATTAACTAAAGTTGTTTATGGAATTTCCTTTAACGAGCCAAAACTTTATGATGTGTGGAGCACCGACAATAAAAGTGCTAAGAGATCAATCTCTCCCTTATTTGCTTTCGTCTTTCACTGGACCGGAGAATCTTAGAAAAACAGGTTGCTCCAATGACTGAGATTTATGTGTCTCAAGTTTATACCCATCACATAATTAGGGATGGTTCAATATGCAAGGTGCTTTTTGGTCATGCTTAAGATGGCCCTAGGGTTTCGACTAAAATCGGAAACACCAGCTTGGGGAGAAAGATGCACTGAGGGTCAAGCTTGTCCTTCCCACATCAAACACAGCGAGTCCCTGAACTCAGAAACAAATCCACTGGGTCCTGGGGGGTTACTGAGTCACAGCCAACAAAGGCAAGTTGTGGAAACGTGCTGCAGGTTTGGTAGAGCTAGGACTGAGGGGAAGGCATACATTGCTTTATTTTTCCGCATCTGGATAGTGGATTGAAATCCTCCATGTTCCTGGCGCACCTGGGTGGCTCAGTCAGTTAAGGGTGGGACTTAGGCTCGGGTCATGATCTCGTGGTTTCCTGAGTTCGGGCCCTGCATCAGGTTCTGTGCTGACAGCCTCAGAGCCTGGAGCCTGTTTCTGATTCTCTGTCTCCCACTCTCTCTGCCCCTCCCCTGGTTGTTTTCTCTCTGTCTCTGTCTCTGTCTCTCTCTCTCTCTCTTTCTCCCTCTCTCTCTCCAAAACTAAATAAACATTAAAAAAAAATTTTTTTTTAATTCTCCATGTTCTTGATGATCCTTATGCACCTCCATTTCACCGGGCAGCAAAACCTAAAAACTCACAATGGAAGTGGAAGAGTGACAAGAAAAATTGGCCTATGATTTATTCACCGCAACACAAAAACAGAGCACGTCGAGAAAGGTGTAAGTAAGAGAAAAACAGACTATTGCTATTTCGTCAACTTCTATTCTGATCAGACTACTTCCAGTTAAAAAATTAAATTCAGGGGCGCCTGGGTGGCGCAGTCGGTTAAGCGTCCGACTTCAGCCAGGTCACGATCTCGCGGTCCGTGAGTTCGAGCCCCGCGTCGGGCTCTGGGCTGATGGCTCGGAGCCTGGAGCCTGTTTCTGATTCTGTGTCTCCCTCTCTCTCTGCCCCTCCCCCGTTCATGCTCTGTCTCTCTCTGTCCCAAAAAAATAAATAAACGTTAAAAAAAAAAAAAAAAATTAAAAAAAAAAAAATTAAATTCAGAGTTCACAGAAGTCAAATGAGAGGATGTCTTGAATTTCCTAAAGTTCAAAAAATAAATAATTGTATATTTATGTTAATTTCAGGGAAAAAATGAGATCGCAAGTTTATAGTTTGTCTACGTTTCCTTGAAGCTGGTAGGAATGTGTCAGCAAGAGTTAGGTGTATGTGAATTCATTTGTGGAATACGGAGTTTTATACTCATTTGGAAAATTGAAGGCTGTTGTTTTTTAAACGCACTGACTATTTTTACTCTCTTGTCCTCTTGCTTTTACAAGCGCAAGGAAAAATACCACATTGTCATTGTGCTATTCTCGGCCACCCTTGCCGCCCTTAACACATTCCTTTGTCTTCAACTACATTAAGACCATGTTATTAATATTTCAGCATTCTTAGAAAGGCTCTCTCAAAATACAGGAGTGGTTTTTCATGCACGCGGCCATTGTGCTGCCTACGTTCAAAATGACCTAGTAAATTGATGGTTAGGTACGTTTCCTTGCTCTTGTGGTTCACAGTCGTCTGGCATTTGGTGCATGAATGTGGAAGTAGATCCCATATTTATTCACGACCTATTTGCATTTTAAAAATGTCACTACATCTTTCATTCCAAACAAAATCCCCACGAAAGGTGTATGTGGTCTAACAAGCATTGACATGTGCTGTGATTTTCCTTCATTCTCCCAGAGGTGAGAACTATTCCACTGTATTTTTTTTTTATGGCCGGGGCTTGGGAAGCAAGTTAGGAGTGAGTCAAATTGTACACTCTACACCCAAGAGCGTGTGTAATTCCTTCTGCCCCCTCGCTGGAGTACAATGGGAAGGAGCGTCTTATTTGGCCTTTCAGATACGTCATTGTGGGAGGACGAGCTGAATTCACTTCCTTTAGTTTTGCGGTAATGAGCTCTTTCTGCTGACTCTAAACAAAAGGAGAAGACAAGTGAGGACAAGAAAGAGAAAGCAAAACTCTTTTCTTGCATTGGCTCACCCAGTGCCATAACGGGTTGCATTTTAAGGATAGTCTTCTACAGAAGTTTCCCTGTGGAATACTTACTTACGCATCGTAATTTCCGGTGAAACGCAAAACCAACATGTTCTTAAGATGATGTAGTACCTTCAGGATTTCTCGGTGCACAGATGATTGACACGAGGTGCAATGCCAAATTCAAGGAGCTAGTTAAACGCACTCTTTAAAAACATTGTATATAGATGGTGTGGTTGTTTTCCCCCTTCTTAGAAAAATAAAGACTGTCTTTACAGTTCATTTTGAAACCATTCTGGTTGCAAGAATATCTAACAATAACAGCACCTGTGATGATAGATCAAGCACTTAAGGTGTTCATAGGCATCGTTTCATTTCATCTTCACAAAGATCCCTTGAGCTTGAGACTTTATCACTATTCGCGTTTTGCAAGTGAAGAAACTGAGGGTTGCAAGTAACTTGCCTGAGGTCACACAATTAAGTGGAAGTCAGTATCTAACCCCGGCTCATGTGCTGATGAAAGTTTTTATGCAGTTACACAGGGTGAACACTGACCGTCAGCAAAAATCCGACAACAGATGGAACAGAGTACAAAAGAACTGAGGTTGGTCCCAGCTTCCACTTGTGCCCCCAGACCATCCTGGGGTTGTTTTCACAACCAGTGCTATGCTCTGCAACCTGCGAAGCAGTTTCTAAAGGCTCTCAGAGCTGCACTGGCCGGTACGACGGCTTTAGGCCATAGGCAGCTACTGATCTGGTCCAAAGCAGGCTATAAGCCTGAAGTACAAGCTGGATTCCAAAGGCTCAGGGCCGCAAAAGCAAAGTCTCTTATTAATAGTTTTTATATTGATTACATATTGAAGCAATAATGCAGGGGGGTATAGCAAGTCAGAAAAATGTACCATTAAAATTAATTTCGCATGGTAGATCTCACCTTTTTTTTTTTTTCATGTGGCTACTAAACTTGAAATTATCTAAGAGGCTTGCAATCTGTGTCTGTTGGACAGTGCTACTCTCAAAGTCCCTCATAGTAAGGTGCCTGTGGCTGCACACATGCGCCCAGGGACTCTCCTAAAGTCGGAGTGCAGAAAGTGCTGGGGCACGCGTCACAGTCACCCCAGCACCTTTATAAGGTTTAGCCTAAGCCCACCTCAGAGAATCAGAGAATCGGGTCAGTTTCTATTTAAGCGCTGCTCTCAGGC